TACATTTATTTATATGTATTAACTATTTGTATGTTTTTAGGGTTTTAATTTTCCACTTGGTGTGGTCGTTTGCCATTTAGTTATAAAGTTTGCACTATCCGCATTAATAAGAGCCATTAGAAGATGTTACAATAGTAAACGAATAAATCTTCCATGGCAAAATATAATTTATTCATTAATGGTACCTGGCATAGCTAGTGGTGTCGATATTGGTTTATCAAATTGGGCACTTTCATTAATATCGATATCTTTGTAAGTATAATCTTATAGCAATATTTAAGATGGTAAGGAATTTATTATAAAGTACATGACGTTTCTTCCTAGAGTCACTATGACTAAGTCAACTACTATTATATTTATTCTTGGATTTTCTCTTTTATTCAAATTAGAGAAAAAGGTAAGGCTGAGATTTTCTGTAAAAAATCTGTGATATTTCTTAAATATATATTAAATATTTTTATATAACTTATAAATAATAATTATTGTTCATTGTAGTCATGGTCTTTAGTAGGGATAGTGGCAATGATAGCAGGAGGATTAGCGATGTTCACTTATAAATCTACTCAATTTGGCATTCTTGGATTTATATTGTGTCTCTTAGCATCATTTGCGAGTGGTATTCGATGGACTATGACGCAACTAATTATGCAAAGATCGAAACTCGGCCTCCATGATCCGATAGACATGATGTATTATATGCAGCCTTGGATGCTATTACCAGCAATATCAGTGACTTTATGGTTTGAAGGTAATTGTACGTTTTGTAACAGAATTTTATAATTAATTATAGAATAGAATTATATATATAATATAATTAATTATAGAATTAATCTTAATTAATTAGAAATTTCTTGATAAATATTCACTTCAGGGGAGGCTAATTTCGATGACCTTGACTTCTATATATTTTATCAAGGTCATGACCCTAAATGACCTCTAACAGCCGTCGCTCATTATTCATTAAAAAGTTTTTAACAATCAGTTCGTAATTTCTTCATTTTGCATGGAAAATTGGATGACTCATTTCGTTATTTCTTTCTTCATATTCAGACACACTCAAACTTTAAACTTTAAATTAAAACTCATTGTAGATACCGCTTTAAGCAACCTTCTACGTCAAGATATCGATCATATAATTATTTTTCTAGAGCGAAAACGTGAAAAGTAAAAATTTTTATGTATATAAGTATTGTATAAAAAAGGTAAAAATGAAAGTGAAAGGTGACAAATTAAATTTTTTTTTCATTTTTAGTATAAAGTTGTCCGCGTCTTTATTTTGTATCTACTTCTATTCTTAAAGGTTTTTGAATTCAAACGATCGAGTGTGTATTTAAAACAAGATAAAAATTACAAAAGCGATCAAATTCACTAGATGTTGATCAATGAAATTAACAAAAATAAAACAAAAATAAAATTTTAATCTGTTTACTTTTACAATTTTCTTGTTTTGAAATATTTGAAATCGATTTCCTATTGCTAGGATTACGTATTTTGAAAGGAGATGAAAATTACACTAATGAGCAAATTCAATACGGTGTTGAATAGGATGATAAAATTATAAATATTTTAGTAAATTCTATTAAATTATTTCTGTAATTTTCAAGTTTTAAAATACATAATCGACTCCTAGTAAATTCGAAGAAAATTTATCACCTGTAATATCGTTAATTCCTGTCACTCCAGCATCATCTTAAAAACTTGTTCAATTTTAGGTGGCAAAATATACGATAGTATTAGAATCACCGATTGGGGCAACATCAATAATATTTTATTGACTACAGCTGCTGTAGTAACAGGTGCCATTTTAGCATTTAGTATGGAAGTGATGGAATTCTTAGTTGTTACTTATACTTCTAGTCTGACATTGTCAATCTCGGGAATATGTAAGGTAAAATTATTAGTCAATTTATTATTGAATTCTATACTGTAATAAATATTATGTTCATGTTTTCTATTCCAATAATAAAAAATGGATTGAAATGGATTGAAATTTTTATGCATACCTATTAGTCCAGTGAATCTAATAAAAAAACTGTTTTTAATTAATTAAATTCAATTGGATTCAATTGGATAGAAAAACTGCATTTCTTATTCAGAATTATGAATTAAGCTGTATTTACGAGAAAGCACACAGAAAAAGCTGATAATATTTTTAGATTAAAAAGCACAGAAAAATGTGATTTAACATACATAAGTGCTTGTATACCCACGCATATACACGCGCGCGCGCACACACACACACACACACATATAATTATGCACATATATAATAATTTCTATAAATAAATAGAAATGCATTCGGATTGAAAAGGTTTTATTTTACACGTGGATGTTTATCTCTGAAAATCTGAATTCATTTCAATTCATTCTCGTTTAATTGAAATTTGTATTAAAAACAATTATACTCATATGTAACTACACTCATGCAAAAAAACGGTGCACTAAATTTTAGCACAAATTTTTAATATTTTTCAATAGCAGTAACTTATTAAAAATCATCGTATATTCATTGAAATAAATCAAAGTTCAAATTAAATTTTATAAATATAAATATTCCCCTTGAAATTCATGAAGACGAGATTAAGTTTGAGTTCTACAAAATGTGTTACTAAATGGTTGCCAGTTTTTAACTCTCACTTTCTCTCTTTAAAGACGAGAAAAAGAGAGAGATAAAGAGAAATTTTTTAAACCTCGCTTACAGTCAAAGTATAGGGCTGCGCACAATCAAAGGAATAGGGAACAGAGTGAGAATTTCAACCTATCAGAAATTGTTATTTCATAGTATATAATTTCTGATAGGTTTTTTTTTAAATTCTTATTCTTTGTTCTCTGTTTCCTATTTGTTTGCTTGTGTGCAGCTTCTAATGTTGGTGTAACCGAGCCTTAAATCATAAGACATTGGCTATGATCGATTTGGACACTCACGCGCTTTAAGCGCTTGTAATCATCATTTTGTCTTTATTGTTCATTAGAAATATAAGTACGTAAAATAAGAATAGAAGTACTGAAAAGTGCTGAAAACGTCCAAATCAACCGCTGCCTCTATCTCAAGATTATAAGTCATCATTCATTCTGCTGAGGCTCTTAAAATGGTCATGAAGTAAAAACGAATTATGAATACTGGCTAAAGATTAAAGATTGAATATGTACAAAATTATGTCATAGGTTTAAAATATAAAATATAACAATTGATAAATTAGGTCAATAGGTTCAAAATAACGATAAAAGTAATTGTAAAATTCGTTACTATTATAAAAGAAAAAAAAATAATTACCGTTATAAAAAAGTAACGCTGTTATCAGTCAGTTACAAAAAAAGTAACTTGTAACGGTGTTACAAGTAATAGTGTTATTTTCATTCCCTGAGAAAAATATAAGATTTATAGGTATCAAGTTTTATTAATACACGTCACAGAAAATATAATCATAGATAATACTAATATTCATTCTATTTAGCTAATTTTCAATTTCCCTATGTTTTTCATTTTGTAATGATTTTTTACAGGAAATATGTACATTGGCACTGGCCTTTGTATTGAAAGGTGACCAACTGACTGGCCTTAACTTTGTAGGATTGTTAATGTGCCTTGGTGGTATAATACTTCATGTTGTTCAGAAAGTATTATTTAACAGAAAGAAAGCAGTTGATAATATGGAATTGCAATCGAAAATGGCAAGCAACAATGCTAAACGCGAAGAGGAAACCGATTCGAACGTGCCATTATTGACGGAAAAATCGACTTCTTTAATTAATCTTCTCAATGCTGAATTTAGCTCTGATGAAGATGTGAGAGAAAGTGATAACTCGACCCAAATATTGTCAGATATTTTGCAACGCAGAGAACAGTGATATATCATAAATTTTTAGATCTGATAAGGAATTATTTTTTATTAAGACGAACATTCAAGTATATTTATGACTTACAGCATTTCAGATTTTTCCAGTGTAAATTTTGCAGTCAATAATGAAGTTGTGGCTATCATAAAGAATGACCCCCAAAAACATACGTTTTTGGCCTATGTATTTTGTGGCCCTTGAATTTCAAATTAAACAGTATGTTAAATGATGTTATATGAAGGAACATTAATTTAAAAAAAAAAGTTAGAAAATTTGTACGTACGCTGCATGCGATACTGATGTAGTGATATATTAATGATATGTAAATCGTATATGTGTAAATCTTGTTGAGTCGATAAAACAGACGAATTCAGGATCTCTTTAAAATATTAAACAACGGGACTGGGAGAGGTAAGAAACTATTTTATTTCTAGTCAAAATTCTACTGTTATCAAGGAAATATTAATTATCTTTTTGTGTCTATATTACTTGAACAATATTTAAAATATTGAAAATTTGACTATTTTGACTTTTGACTTATCGTATCTTCAAAAGTACTCTTATGTTCAACTTAAATTTTTTCTGAGATTTAATGTCCCGTCGTATAGTATCATATAGCATATAATCCGATTCGAAATTCGAGGACTACAAAATGAGCTAGATTTGGGGTCACTCTTTTATATCACATGTTTATAAAATTTAATATATCAAAAATAACAGACATTTTGATGTTTTGATTAACGTTAAAAGTAAATACATCAGAATTTAATTAAAATATATATTTGTGAAAATGCAAGATTTCCCGATATACATCTGTATACTAACATGTATTAGGAACTAAACTTAGTTTCTGCGGCTCACATTTAAATGACTTGTAGGTGTAATTTACATCTGAAGCTGGCTTCATTTTAGAAGTTAGACATTTGTCAATAAAAATTCAGTGCGAAAAGATTTATTTAAGCGAACAATGCCATTTTTTTAACCGAAAATGTCATTACAAATCGCTTAAACATCTCTATTTCTCTGTTCACCAGACAGAAAAAAAAGTTTTTTGTGGCGCATTGTGATTGGCGATGAAAAGTGGATCTATTTAATAATCCCAAACGTAAAAGTCATGGGTGGACCCTGGCCAACCATTAACATCTATTTCAAAGCGAAATATCTATGGCCACAAAGCAATGTTCTTTGGTAGGATATGCAAGGCATCGTTTACTACGAGCTACTCAAACCGAACGAAAGTATCACGGGGAATTGATGTCAATTACAATTGAATCGTCTGAATGAAGCATTGTTGGAAAAAGGCTAGCAGTAGCCAGCAATCGACGCAAAGTTATGCTTTTGCACGACAACGCTCGATCACACGTTGCAAAAGCTGTCAAGGAAACACTAATGCAGCTCGAGTGGGAAGTTCTCCCGCACTCAGCGTATTCACTAGACTTGTTCCTTTAGACTATTACTTGTTCCGATCGATGCAGCACGACTTGGTAGATACACACTTCAGAAATTAGAGGGTATGCGAAAATGGATTGATGAATGGATTGCTTCAAAAGACCAATCGTTCTATTGTCGCGGAATCCACTTATTGCCACAAAGATGGGAAAAATGTATAGCTAGCGAGGGCAAATACTTTGGTATTTTTTGCTTTTGATATTGAGATAAATTAGTTTTTTTAAGCAAAAAACTACGAAAACTAAGTTTAGTACTTAATAAGAAGATAATTTAAAAAATTGCGAAGTACAAAAATGAAAGCGTGAAATGTTTCATGTGTTAATATTGATAGAAAAACGTCACTACATATAAAGATTTATTATTGTTGTTTTTAACATTATAAGAGCTTTATTATGCAATATATTAATTTGTTTAAATTGTGTGCGCGCGCGCGTGTGTAAGAGCGAGTGGGCGGGTGTGCGTGCACACCTGCGTATGTGAGGGTTGACAAAAAATATTTTTTTTTTTTAAGAATGAAACATTGTATGTTTTTTAAAATATGTCTTTAATGCTTTATACATAATTTAAACAGTATTATAAAAAAACATGTTTAAAACATGATTTTTATCAATCCTGGATTAGCATATGCACGTGCACATTATTTTAGAATACACGTCCAAAATATAATGATAATTCAACATTTATCTTTTAATAATGAACGCACAATAATTAATAAATTTAAACGCACTAATTAAGTGTCAAATATGATGAGTTATTTAAAATAATACGTTTTTAAAAATCTTACGCACGTATCCAGATAGCACAAGATACTAAAAGATAACGAAAAAGAGATCTTTTTCAAATTGTCTTTCCGACAAAGCAAAAAGATGTCTAAAAAATGATGAAAAGACATCGTTTTTTAGATTGTCTTTTCAGCAAGACGAAAAGATATGCAAATATTTCGAATTGCAAAATACAGATATTACTTATATATATTAATAGCATAATAAAATGTATTCAGAATTTAATCCATTTTTATATTTATATTAAACATATATTTTTACATCAATTTATGTACGATGGCTTTAATGTGCATCAATGCGCACTGAGTGCATCCAGTCGAATTCGCTATAAGTCAACATAATACGTAATCATATTACGTTACATCAGTTAATAAATAAATCGGACACAGGTTTGTTAATAAATAATTTATTTTGTATTTCGGAATATATCTTAATTTTTCTATTATCAAGTTTTATTTGAAATATATATCTCTTTAATAAATATAATACATAATTATAAAAGAATCATATGTTATTCAAACAGTTACTATTCTGCAATTCTAATTTAATCATAGACAAGAGAAGTAGATAAGATCATTTTATGATAAATTTAAAGAATTACAAGTTTGTAATTTGTAAATTTTTCTTACAAATAAATTACAACAGATATATTAGATATAATTTCCACCAACAATAAAATATGAATATATTTATTGTTTAACTCTTTAAAGATAAGTATCGCGAAATCTCGTAATTTGACATACATGACAATTGTCTCGAAAGAGTTGGACCAAATCATATAATATGAAATTTTTATTTATATATAATGTCATTCATCATTTTTATCTATTATGCAATAAATAAAAAAATTTTATTAAACTAGTTTCTATTATAACAAGTAAGACACAATGCGATCATATTTGCTAGTTATGCAATGCTTATTCTAATATTGGTTAATAAATAACGATCACTTTTATCTTTTATAAATAAAATAACAGATTTATTTTTCTTGCTTATTTTGTTTTATTTGATTAGTTTTTTTAGATTTGGCTTCAATTCTATTTTCCAGTTTGTGAATTAACTCGTCTAATTCGTCCTAATAAACATAAATTAAGATATAATTACTCTTAGATAATTTGTTTATACTTGTGTATAGTATATATGACGTACTAATTAATTGATTTATAACAAGTTGTACTTACTTCATCATATGTGTACATGAGAGTACAATGTTTCAAAATCTGCTTCTTACAACTAATTAAGTGCAAGGCATGTGATAAACAATAAACGCTGTCATCTTGCGAATTATTTACCAAAGAGACAAATAAATTAGCTCTACATGTCTCACATTCGAAGTCGCCATCATCATCTTTCACCTTTTTCCCTTTCTTCCCTTTTCCACTAACTGGTAAAGGCAATCTTTCTCTATTGATAAGACCTACACTTTCCAGCTGTTTACGATAATTTAATTCTTTTTCACAAATCTTTATTACACTCGGCAATATCTAAAGATATAAAATTATAATGTAGTGCTAAGTAATTCAAAAGTTTATGTGACAATATATGACTATCTATATTTTAATCTTAAATATTAATCTAACAATTACAGCATAAATTTATTCCTACCTGTTTCAATATATCTATATGCGATCTCGTATCATTAATAATATTAAATAACAATCTCTCAAATGAAAAGATAGAAGGTTCGCAACTATC